GATAAAGTGACAAACTGGTCGGTACTGGTGATAAACTAACAAACTGGACTACAAACTGGTCAGTACTGTAACCAATAGGAGTTCAGTATTGCATTTGTAAATAAACATGCAGTAATAAAAACAAAGGACCAGTACACCACCTGCTGGATTATCGGTGTTACTACAGTGAAGTCTCAAAGACAAGTTTTACTTATTGAATATAATTTGAATGATTATGTGAAGTAACGTCTGTAACACTGCTCTGTCAATCAATCTATCTATTGAACTAACTTCATGAATGTTCCTCCTCCAGGAAAACAGGACCATTGTCGGGTTCCCTAACTCGACGCCATACGATGGAAGCATCCTGGAGGCCGACTGTGACATCCTGATCCCAGCGGCCAGCGAGAAGCAGCTGACCAAGAGCAACGCACACAAGATCAAGGCCAAGGTAACGCACTCGCCATCAATACCTGTTTTCCCAGCATGCATCAGTACACTGACCTGGTGTCTGTGGTCTTTTCAGATCATCGCTGAGGGGGCGAACGGTCCGACTACACCCGAAGCCGACCGCATCTTCCTAGAGAGGAACATCATGGTGATCCCGGTCAGTGAGCTCTTAGTTCTTAGTCAGTGGACTTCTGCATTGTTCTGTTAAGATGGAATACAGTTTTTATATGTTCTGCCTTGTTTTGTCTCCTCTTCTCATTCATCTCCTTGTCTCCTCCCTCCTTTTCTCTTTACCCTCCTTGTTTCCATGTTTCCTCTGTGTGTTCTTTCCTCTCGTACCCTCTCCTCTCTTTGTCACCATGTTCCCTCTCCTTGTCTCCTCTCCCTGTGTCCTTGTCTCCTCTCTCCTTGTTTTCTCCTTGTTTCATCTCCTGCCTCCTATCCTTGTTTCATCTCCTGCCTCCTCTCCTTGTTCCATGTTTTCTCCTGTGTCCTTGCCCCCTCTCTCCTCTGTCAGGACATGTACCTGAACGCCGGCGGTGTGACGGTATCGTACTTTGAGTGGTTGAAGAATCTGAACCACGTCAGTTACGGTCGACTCACCTTCAAATACGAGAGGGACTCAAACTACCACCTGCTGAGTGAGTGCTCACAGACCATCGATCAATACATCCATTGATTGATTGATCATCACAGAGAGAAGGATGCTCCTCCCCTTCATCACCCTCCCCTTCATCACCCTCTCTTTCTCTCTTCAGTGTCGGTTCAGGAGAGTCTAGAGAGGAAGTTTGGTAAACACGGCGGAGCCATCCCCATCGTCCCTACCTCTGAGTTCCAGGCCAGAGTCGCTGTGAGTACTCGCTGCTGCTGCTGCTGCTGCTGCTGCTGCTGCTGCTGCTGCTGCTGCTGCTGCTGCTGCTGCT